TGACACTCCCATCCCGATTACCCCAGTCACTGAATTAATCCACCTCATAGATGGTCTTCCCCTCCTGCGCTGTCCCTCCACCCTCCCAAGCATGAGGTCCCTAAGGACCTGTCTCTCCTCACAACGTGTCCGAAGTATGTCAGACGAAGCCCCAGAATCCTTGCCTCCAAGGAGTAGCCTGGTTTAACCCTCTCTAGGATGAATCTGCTTGTTTTCTTGGCAGTCCGTGGTACATTCAATACTCTTCTCCAGCACCACAGCTCAAAGGCGTCAATTCTCCTTCTATCCTCCCTAGTCAGACCCCACATAGTACAGAAATTATTGAATAATATACCATGGACTGCTAGGAGAACAAACAATTTCATCCTGGAGAGGGTTAGACCAGGCTGCTCCTTGGACACAAGGATTCTGAAGCTTTGTCTGACATAATCTGGACATGCTGCAAGGTGGGATCAGACCTTGGAGTGGGAAGTCATGCTTGAGAGTGTGAAGGGACAGCGCAAAAGAGGAAGACCCTCAATAAGAAGGATTGATTCAGTGACTGGGGTGATGGATGTAGGTGTATCAAAAACAATAAGATTAGCACAGGATAGAGCAGCGTTTAGGGTTGTTGTACATAGGATTGCTATGAGTCACAGGTGACTTGACAGCATATAACAACAACAACAACATCCCTAATATAACATGCAAGCAAGATCTTGCTGAAGATTATCCAGAAACGACCAGAACAGTACATAAGTAGAAAACTGCCAGATGTGCAGGCTGGATTTAGAACAGGCTATAGCACCAGGGATATCACTGCTAACATTAGAACATTAGATGAATCTTGGCTGAAAGTGGAGAGTATGACAGAAATGTTTATCTGTGCTTCATTGACTATGCAAAGGCATTTGACTATATAGATCACAACAAATTATAGCTAATCTTGAGAAGAATGGGGATTCAAAACACTTAATTGTGCCCATGTGAAACCTATATTTGGATAAGGAGGCAGTACAGTCATCAGAAAAGAACCATTTCATGGTTCAAAATAAAAAAAGTAGTGCATCAGGGATGCATCCTCTCTCCATACCTTTTCTATCAGTATGCAGAACAGATTTTTCAGGAGGCTGGACTTACGAGGAGTGTGCCATCAGGATTGGCGGAAGACTCTTCAATAACCTATGTTACGAAGATGACACAATCTTGCTCACCAAAACTGAAGAGGATCTGAAGCATTTGTTGCAAAAGGTCAAAGACTACAGTCTTCAATATAGACTGAAGCTCAACATCAAGAAGACAAAGATTCTTACCACTGGGATAATCGGCAGCACCATGACAGATGGAGAAGAAATTGAGGTTGTACACAATTTAAGCTTGCTTGGTCCCACAATCTACACTCTTGGCCCCAGAAGTCAGGAAATGAGAAGATGAATAGGATTGGAAAAAATCTGCTGTCAGCAACCTCTCAGAGTTTTAAAGTACAACAATGTCAGTCTAGAGACTGAGGAGCACCTGATCCAGTCCATGGTCTTTTCAATTACTTGCTATGCATCAGACAATTGGACAATAACTAAGGGTGACAGAAGAAGAATTGTTGTCTTTTAGTTGTAGTGCTGGATAAGAGCTTTGAATATACCATGGACTACCAAGAGAACAAACAATTCTGTCCTGATTAGGGTGAAACCAGGCTGCTCCTTAGAAACAATGATTTTTAAGCTCTGTCTTACATACTTAGGGCATGTTGCCAGGGGGGACCAGTTTTTGGAGAAGGACATCGTGATTGCAAAGTTGGAGGGACAGTGCATGGGAGGGACCTGTATGAGATGGACTGACACAGTGACTTGGGTAATAAGGGCAGGTGTGTCAGAGACAATGTAATTGGCTTAGGATAGGGCAAGGTTTAGAGCTATTGTGGGTCACTATGAGTCACAGTCAACTTGAGAGCACACAACATCAACAACATGAGAGTTAAGTGGTCTTTATAAGTATCTATCTTCTCCTGCAGAACAGCTGGTGGATTCAAACCACTTACCTCAGGTAAGCAGTACAGTTTCTTGCCACTAGGCCATTAGATCTCCCTATAAGTATCTATAATGTCTGTAATGTGACTAAAAAATATCTATGATTACTACTGGCAGCAAAGTCATATATACTGCTGCTACTTCAGTGGTCTACTGTCTAATTTTCATAACTTAGTGGGATTCTACATTTCACTTACAGCTTTGTTGTTGTTATGTACTGTTGAGTTCACTATGACTGATGGTGACCCTATGAACAATGAATCTGAAGCCTACCCTTTCCTGTGCCACCCTCCGCACTCCTGAAATACTCGAGCCCACTTTTCCTGTCACTGTGTCAATCCACCTGAGGATCTTCCCCTTCCTCACTGACCCTCCGACTCTCCAAGCATGATGCCCTTGTGCAAGGACTGGCTCCTATTAACAACATGTCCGAGTTAGTTAGTTCATGGATTCTTCTCTCTGGTGAAAAGAAACCCAGTTTAGCAAAACCAACCAACCAACCAACCAAAAAACATAACAAAAACAAGCAAACAAAAAACCCCCAATACCCTCTCCCTGTGTCTGCTTGGTGGGCCAGCTGAGGTTGGACGGAGTTGGCTGCTACTGGAAACCCAGTTTGTGTATTCTGCTCAGGAAAAAATGGACAGTATCTGCTGTGAACCTACACCTCACTCACATGTAAGCCTTGTAGTTGGTGCCTATCTTCTGGACTCGGATGTCATACTTGGCATCGATGAAAGGCTCCGCTGTGGCATAGGTCTGGGTGAGGGCCACCACACTAGCAATGTCCTGGAAATCATAGTGGTTTTCCACTTTGACCTGTTGTTGGAGCAAAACAGAGTGAGAGAGAGAGGGGAACACACATGATGAGAAGTCATAAAGCCTTGAGTCACATTTACCAAGGTGTTTCTGCTCTAGAGGCAAACCCACATGTTACAGCTCCTTACAAAGCCACTTCTCTCCATCCTCCCTTCCCAGAGCCCAGAGGTCACATCTGCCACCAACAACCCAGGGGAGTAAGCAGGCAGTCTACAATCTGCCTGTCAAAGGAAGCCTGATCTGGTAACACTCATGCTTTCAAAGGTTCAAAGTACCTTCCTGGAAAGATTTCATCAATAAGAGAGTCAGAAGAGCAGCCCACAAGTGGGTGCTCCGAACAGAGCCCTTTCAGCTCTCCCTCAGAGCCTTGCCAGCTTCCACCCTCAGCCCTGAAGCTCAGTCGGCCCCTCTGTCTTACCTTGCCCATGCCTGAGTGAGCATGGCCAATCTTCACCACTACAGGAAACGTGGGCAGTGTCAGCTGAAAGCAGAGGAAAAAGGAGTGAACTGGTCAAGATTATGGCTGTGTCCGGAATCCCACAAATATTTTTATTGAGAACATTCTAGGAAGGGTCCTTTACAAAAAACTGGGGACATTAGTGTTGCTGTTCTTGTGTATCTTTGCGTAGGAATCTACTTCAGTGGGTTTTCAGAAGCTGTAAATTGTGCAGGGGGAGATTCCGCATCTTTCTTCCCATGCAGCAGCTGCTAGGTTGAACCATGTGCCTTTGAGTTGGCAGCACAACTCCTTACCAAGCCACCAGAGCTTCCTGAGACCCACATAATGCCAATAACTTGCAAAATTTTGCAAAGTGTTATTAGTGATGGCTACAAAAATCTAACTCCTCTAGTACTTATTATATCTTTAAGACTAATTTCTTCAATTTTCTCAGCATTGGACCCACTCAGGGCTAGGTAGGCTACCAGCCTGAGATAATAGCAACAATGTAAACTCACTGTGGAAAGGAGTAAATTTTATTGTGTGTAAATTATGCCTCACTTAAAAATATAGCTTTGGAATCTTATTAAGATGTCTCTCCTATCTCTCAGGATCCTTTTTTCCCTGTTTATTAACTCCCCAAGCCACTTTAACATGACTATTTGCGGCTAGCTTTGAGGATGAAAAGCACTGATGGAAGAATTCAATGTTTATTATTGAAAAGAGATCTTTAAGGTCCTCTTTTATCCATGGCTAAGTAAAAGAGCATTCTTTAAAAAAAAAAAAGGAAAAGCCTTAACCCAGAAGAACTCACTGCCAGTGAGCCCATTCTGAGTATAGTGACCCACAGGGTCTAACAACTGCTTAGTAGGGTTCCTAAGGCTGAACAGTGTTTTTGTCACATCGTTCCTCCAGAAAGCAGCTGACAGTTTGAACTGACAATCTGTTGCCTTAACCCAGAATAACCACTCTCTAAAGGCAAAATTTTTAGCTGTTTACAAAATGGTGACGGAAGAATTAGCACAGTGAAGTGGAAAAGGCTATATAGACTAGATGTAAGACTTGTATTCTGGTTCCTTCTGCAAGTCACTTTGTCTCACGGAGCCTCCAAATTCACCTCTTCAGATGAAAAAAAGGAACTGAATGCTCTTTCACTATAAATGTGACCCTATCTTGATCTGTATGAAGAATGAAGGATCAACCTGACCACAAAATCTCACCTTCCTCAGTCAGACTCAGCTCTCTTTTTCCTTCTTTGCAAAATGGAAAGATGCTCTTTGAAGGAAATAATGCTGACCCTGATGAAATGAGGACCACACACAACTGGAATATGTGATTTTGGTAGTTTAGCGCTGAGAAGCCAAAGCTAAAGGAAGAAACCAAGAAATCAAAGAGCTAAACATAAAATTTCAAAAGGCAGCCCGGGACGACAAAGCAAGATACTGTAATGAAAAGTGCAGAGAGCTGGAGTCAGAAAATCAAAAGGGCTGAACTCGCTCAGCGTTTCTTAAGCTGAAGGAGCTGAAAAACAAATTCAAGCCACGGGTGGCAGTACTTAAGGATACCTTGGGTAGAATGTTAAATGATCCAGGAAGTATCAAGAGAAGATGGAAGGAATATACAGAGTCACTGTATCAGAATGACACAGAAGAATTTAATGAAATGACATATGAGCAAGAGCCTATGGTGATGAAGGAGGAAGTTCAAATTGCTCTGAAGGAACTGGCAAAAAACAAGGCTCCAGGAGTTGACTGCATGCCAATTGACATATGTCAACAGACAGACACTGCCCTGGATGTGCTCACTAAGTTGTTCCAAGAAATCTGGAGAACAGCCAGCTGGCCCACAGACTGGAAAAGATAGATATTTGTTCCCATTCCAAAGAAAGGGGACCCAACAGAGTGCGGAAATTATCGAACAATATCATTAATATCACATGCAAGCAAGATTCTGCTGAAAATTATCCAAAAACGTTTGGAACAATATGTCAACAGAGAACTGCCAGATGTACAGGCTGGATTTAGAAGAGTTCGTGGTACTAGGCATATTATAGCTAATGTTAGATGGATCTTGACAGAAAGCAGAGAATACCAGAAGAAGGTCTATCTGTGCTCTGTGCTTCATTGACTATGCACAGGCTTTTGACTGTGCGGATCGCAACAAGCTGTGGCTAACTCTGAGAAGAAAGGAAATCCCAGAACATTTGATTGTGCTAATGCAAAACCTATACGTGGACCAAAAGGCAGTCAACAGAACAGAGCAAGGAGACACTACATGGTTCAAATCAAGAAGGGGGTTTATCAGGGTTGTATTCTGTCTCCATACCATTTCAATCTGTATGCAGAACAGATCATCTGGGATGCTGGGCTGTATGAGGAGGAATAGGATTAGTGGAAGAGTCATCAACAACCTGCGTTGTGCAGATGACATAACTCTGCTTGCTGAAACTGAAGAGGACCTGAAGCGCTTGCTGCAGAAGGTCAAGGACTGCAGCCTCCAATACGGATTGAAGCTCAATATCAAGAAAACAAAGATTCTCACCACTGGGCCAATTGGCAGCATCAGAATGGATGGTAAAAAGATTGAGATAGTTAACAGTTTTAGTTTGCTTGGCTCCACAATCAACACTCTTGGTACCAGCAGCCAGGAAGTCAAGAGATGAATTGCATTGGCAAAGTCGGCTGTGAAGAACCTCTCAAGAGTACTGAAGAGCAACGACATCAGGCTGGAGACTAAGGTGTGCCTGATCCGGGCTATAGTCTTCGGAATTATGTGTTGTGCATCAGAGAGTTGGACAGTGAATAGGGCTGATAGGAGGAGAATTGATGCCTTTGAGCTATGGTGCTGGAGAAGAGTGTTAAATATACCATGGACTGCTAGAAAAACAAACAGGTTTGTCCTGGAGAAGGTGAAGCCGGAATGCTCTTTAGAGTCAAGGATTCTGAAGCTTCGTCTGACATACTTTGTGCATGTTGCAAGAGTGTTTGGCAGAGTGGAGGGGCGGTGAAGAAGAGGAAGACCTTCGATGAGATGGATCGATTCTGTGACTGGAGTGGTGGGAATAAGTGCTTTTGAGATGCCTAGGTTGGCACAGGATAGAACAGCGTTTAGAGCTCTTGTGCATAGGGTCGCTATGAGTCACAAACGACTCAATGGCACATAACAACAACAACAGCAGCATCCCTGGCTGAGGTCAGGTGAGGATGGAGCCTTAGAAATAACTCAGTTCATCTCTATTTTATGGACAAAATAAAAAATAAAAAATAAACTGAAGCCAAGAGAAGCAAAGGCTGCAAAGTATCTCAGTGATAATCACAATCAGAACACAGCCCTCAGGCCCAGCACTATGTGGCAAAATCCCACCCACCATCCCAGGGTCTACTTCTACCTGAGTTTTGGAACACTGCCAATGATGCTGTGCCTTCTTTGTCTTCTTTTTTTTTTTTGCCTTCTTTGTCTTCTAAGCTACCCCCACCTTCTACAAAAGCAGTGACTTGAGCTAGGATTCAGTGTGATCTAGATGCCAAAATGACTTTGTGGTCCCAGGTCTTATTCTGAGCTCGCACTGAGAACACGGCATGCAGCCATCTCCAGAGGCTGAGGCTTTGAGTACTGCAAAGGCTTTCTAAGGCACCAGCTTCTTTCTCTGGCATCCTTCCCTACCCCGGCTGACAAAGCCAAGAAACACTGCCCCACCCAACTTGCTCAGTCCACTACTGTTTGCTATTGTTTTGGAGTCTCATAAATAGGGCATTGAAAACACTTCCTGCAGCTGAAAGAAGCTAAGTAGTAGGCCTCCTCCCCAGTGTGAAGCTCAGTGAGGGTCCCATCGTTCACAGTCACTGGTCCTTTTGCCTGTTGTAATTCAGCCTGCCTCCCTCTGACACTGTCCGCCTCACTTTTCTGCCTCCTCACTTAGGTTCCTTCTACCTGAATCACAATCCCTCAGTCACTGTGCCCTTGTGCATTTGCCTCTGTCCTTTTCTTTCTGTGACACCATCCCTGCTCAAAGGCTCTTAATAGAGAAATAAAGACCAGGAGCTTCTCTCTGGTCATCTGCCTTCATCTTACTGAGCCTTCATGTTATTGAACCTTCCTCTTACTGAACCTGTAGGCCAGGGGAATGAATCTTGGTTCTTGCAGCCTATGTTGGCCTAGAACCATAGGAGAGTGGAGTTTGTCAGGGCAGTATCAGGCCTAGAACCACCCCACAAAACCTGGGGCAAGGGGTCACACACTTTGCTAAGGTGGCCTGGAGGGTCTATTTGGTTGGGGTGCGGCATGCACCCCCCAGCAGCACATTTGTTCCTCTGTGCTGGGTAAGTGGCCCCATTCCACTTGGTGGAATAGGACATGCTAGGATGTGCTGAGCTCTACCTGCAGTACAGGTTGACCAGAAACAGCTCAAGATGCATGCCCTTTCTCCGGCTGGGCAAGGGCAGCCTTATAAGTAGAGGCTTGTCAGGGGCTTCCCCACCTCATGCTGACAACTAGGAACTAATGGATACAAGCTGGGGAGTTTAGGTGTGGGAGTGGTGAGCATTAGAAATGCCTGTCTCAGTCGAGACTGGCAAGCATGGGTGCCAGGATGCCCTTACTCCAAAGAACACCTTTTGACCTTTCCTCTCTCTGACTGAAATGTCCTTTACCCTGGCATACTCTTCGTCATCCTGTCATCAGGGCTTAACTCAAATTAGCCTTCTGATCTCTGAGGCTTCCTAACTCCCAGTAACCTCCCACCCCCACCTCCACAATCTTTGTGTTCCACTTCCCTGTGTGGTCTTCTCTACACGTGTGTTCTCCACCTGCCCAGGAGCTCTGCTGGGGAGGAAAACTGTTAGAAGCCTTATGTAAAATTTTTGACTGATGCTGGAATGGCATGAGATCGACTGTGTTGGTGTGAATTCAGTACACTTTTCCAATAAAACTCTACTAATATAACATCTGAGCAGGTGCCGTTGTGTGGCCTGGGACTCCATCAACAGATGAGCAGTCCACTGATCTCAACAGGCAGCTCCCAGTCCTGTTCTGCTTCCCACCTGCAGCCCAGGACTCATGCACTAACAGGTTCAAAGAGTCTTAGGGAGACTATACAGCCCCTGATAAGCCTGAGGGCAACTGAACTTGAACCACTACTGCAGCACACGAGTTCCAGCTTCCCATTCTCATACACAGCCCTTCTCCTCATACAACCAATAACACCCAAACCCAGAACTCTCCACAGAAGTCTCCCAAAGCCCAAGTGTCTTCTGCTATCCAAGCTGCAGAGGGATTGCTTCCACTGGCTCCTGAAGGTTCAATCTTTTCTTAGGTAGTGAGCCATTCTAAAATCTTCAATGAGAAGGTAGTTTCGGCCACTTCAGACCTTACTGACACCCAACAACTGATCTGGTATGAAATCAAACAGATAAAGAAAGGTACATGAGGCCTGGACTGAGTAATTACCTCCTTGGGCTGACGGAGGAAATGAGGTTTGTGTTCTGGGAAGGGTGGGGCTGGTCTGTGTCAGGAGACTGTACTTACTGGGTGGTCCTTGGGAATAGATCATGGGAGCAGGACCCACAGAACGCAGTGACAATGCGGTGGGGTGTGTGTGTGTGCTTAAGTGACCACCTGGTCCCACAGTAGATACCTCCCTTCTCACCCAAGGCTGAAATTTTGTGGTGAAAAATTCAGTGTGCCTGAATCAGCCTTCTGCTTGTTGTTGCTGTTATGTGCCGTCGAGTCGCTAGCGACTCATAGCGACCCTATGTACAACAGCCCTAAACTCCGCTCTGTCCTGTGCCAATCACACTGTCTCTGACACTCCCATCCCAATTATCCCAGTCACTGAATCAATCCACCTCATAGAGGGCCTTCCTCTCCTGCGCTGTCCCTCCACCCTCCCAAGCATGATGTCCTTCTCCAAGGACCAGTCTCTCCTCACAACATGTCCAAAGTATGTTAGATGGAGCCTCAGGATCCTTGCCTCCAAGGAGCCACCCAGTTTGACCCTTTCCAGGACAAATCTGTTTGTTTTCCTAGCAGTCCATGGTATTCTCAATACTCTTCTCCAGCACCACAGCTCAAAGGCATCAATTTTCCTTCTATCCTCCTTGGTCATTGTTCAACTCTCTGATGCATAACAGGTGATTGTGAAGACAATGGCCTGTATCAAAAGCACCTACTCTCCACCGGAGCTGGCTGAAAATCGCCTGTGACTTCATCCATAGCCACTGGTGAGAGTCAGCGCTCAGAGCCATCAGGGGCTTTAAGCTCGTTGCCCACTGCTGTGGTGTGGACAGTTGAAACCCAGGCCCCGACAGGCACCTGGGAGGGGGCAAAAAAAACCCCAGACTCTACTTCATGCTCTGCTGGAGAAGGAGGGGCAGTCTCCTGTACCAGTCAGATCCAATTTGATGGTAAGCACACACACACACACACACACACACACACACACACACACTTTTTCTTCTTCTTTTTTTAAAAAGGACTACTTCAGCCATCGCGGCCCTCTGCCCGGGGAGGGCTGCCCTCGGCTCCCAGCCCGGGGTGAGCCGTCGTGGCCCTCTGCCCGGGGCGGGCTGCCCTCGGCCCTCTGCCCGGGGCGAGCTGTCGTGGCCTTCTGCCCGGGGGGGGCTGCGCTTGGCCCCGGGCTCGGGGCGAACCGTTGCGGCCCTCAGGGTAAGCTCCTCAGTCCCCAGACTGTGCCATCTGACCCCGGGATGGGGAAGGAGAAGAAAA